TTTTTATCTTTTTTCTACTTCTTCTTCTTCTTCTTCTTCTCCTTCTTCTTATCTTTTTTCTGCTTCTTCTTCTTTTTCTTCTTTTTCTTGCAGGTCACGGCTCATGCGCAGATTTTTTATCGGTAAAAAGATCGGCCAGTTTGCCCATCATTGACCCATCTATGGCTTGCATTAGTCTGATACAACGTCGACGAATAAATACAGTGATCTTATCTGTTAGTCTAAAAGGCAATTGGGACAAATGTGTATAGAGGGGTATGGTGACCAGTCTAAAGTCATTGGAAAATGTCCACATATTTGTTCATCACAGTAGGAGTCTGACACAAATCTCCAACTGACACCAACAATATGAGGAGCATTTTCTCCCTCCGACACCAACAATGGGGTTCATTTTATTTCACCTACACCAATGATGTTATACCGTATATTCTATCCTCAATGACACCAACAGCAGGTTTTAAATTTACTGCTACTGACACAAATGATGGGCCTTGCTTTACCCTTACATCATGTGACTCCTCTCATCAGTGCCTTCATTGCCTTCTTTGTCTTCCATTATAATGCTGTATTTGCTTACAATGGTGGCCAGCAAAGGCAAAAAGATTAACACAAATAGTAAATGTTTTCCTTTGGTCCTGCGTCATCTCCCCCTGGTGCCCTAGGATGAGGCTTGTATGGTCAAAATGACTGCGAATTTTACTCTAATTTCTCTCCTTACGATACTGCAAGCTTCCCATGTACAATATTTTCTCCAGGAGAGCTTGCGTGACTCATCTATAACTGAATGAATGAGTCATGTAGATTTTAGCCCATCTGACCTTTTCCTCAGCAGAAAGAAAAAACTGCAGCGTCACTCAACACATCCTTTATATTTTGCAAATCAGTAAATGGTGTCCATAAATCTTCCAATAATAAATCCTAAAATGTTATTTAACACTATTAATTAACCTTCTTACATAGAATTTTAATTAAAATGTGCTCGTAAATAACTTGTCATTGTAATTAGATAGGAATTTATTACTGTCATCTCATTTAACGGCACATCCCACTTGACGTTTGATTATTTTATTTAGGATTGTTGAATTAGTATTCTTTCAGCTGTAAACTAATTTTGTGTATGTTGTTAAGCATTATTCAGTGATGCAAGCTCTCTGTGCAGAATACAGTAACTCTGAAGAAGCCAATCAGAATTAATTTTTCACACTGCTGACATCAGAGGTGAAATTGGATTGGTTGCTATAGGGTTGCTGCACTTTGAAAATTCTCTTTGCTGAACTATACGAAAAGTGTATGTTTTATAAATTTGCTATAGTAGTGTAGAACTATTTTGGGGGAGGGGAAGTTATTGGAAATGGCCCTCCCCAAACAGGTCATTGTGCTAAACCTGTTCGTAAATAATTGCAGCATATTATTCTCTGGGTTCTCCTTATTGAAGCAAAGTGGCAAAGGCTAAAAACACTTCAAATCCATCCATATGCCATCCATATATCCATATGAAAAAGCGTGTGTACTGCAGTGGAAATGGTCACCGGCCAGATGGATTTAAGTCATTTTAGCCTTTGCTACTTTGCCCTGATAAAGGCTGGCCATACACTATACAATTTTCTGTCCAATGTTTGCCCAATTCCCTTTAGATTTACCTTCAACTATGTAATGCAAGAGCCTGCCTAATTGGATACAATTGAAAGTGTTAGGTTTGACCTCCTATTATATGGCTTTTTGGTAAATCTAAATGAAAAATCTCAAGAAAATTGAATAATGTATGGCCAGTCAAAGGGAATCAAATGCCGTGAGTGTCCTTGAAACCTACAGTATCTGTGAAATGTATAATTTAGTGAACTGTGACCTGCTCCCATGGATGGCACAGGGAAATGTATGGCGGAATTTCCTGTGGCAGGTTCTCCTGAACACATACCGTAAGTTTGCTTCTTCCTCAGGGATATCAACTGTGGTGCCACCCAATATTTTTAGTTACAGTTTATTGTACAACTGTCCAAATACCTTCGCAAATGCAAATGGGCATGTGGTGAAAATGTTACAAACTCTTCTTTCAATCACTCCTCTTTGTGTTATAGAAATAAAGAAAAGGGAAGGTGTTCTGTAGTCCTAGCACATTTGATGTCCTATGGTTACAAATTTGACTATTTTCCTGCTCTTGCAAGTTAGGTAACCAGAGGTGGGGTGCCCATAGAGGGTATTCGGGAAAAAGCTGAACTTGTATATATAGCACTACCCCCTTGGGGGTTGCCAAGGATTTGTGTCCCCCTATAGTCCTGCACAGCCAGGTAATCAGCATTCTCCACACAAGCTTGCATCCAAAGTCAGAAATCAGTCCTTGAGTTTTGGTTCTGTTGTTTGTATTGAGGGAATTTAGAACTGGGATAGGGTAAGGCGGGTATAGGATGCCCAAGGGAACCAACAATTGAGGACAAGCTTCCTGGAACAGTTCACGTGCCTTCTCCGCAGCGCAGTCTCTGTTGGAGAGCTAACCAGCATCTCCTTGATGTACAACCCCAGACCATAGGTGAATTTCTCCATTTCACCCGGCAATCTGGAGGTTTTCCTGAGCATGGGATCATGTTCCTGTCCCTTTCAATAGGTGAACAGTCACAAGCAGGGTGTTAATCTGTTTTCCCACCAAAATGCTCCTTCCCCTATCCACCCAGGGGGTGTCGGTGTTCTTGCTCAGGTCGTCTCTGATGGCATGATTATGAGTAGTATCAAGGTAATAAAGAGGTCACTAGATACGGCTATGAAGTAGACTTTCACTCTCTTCAATGACTTTTCATAATTCCCTCCCATCCTCCTGCCCTTCCATCTTGCCAGGGGGCTTCAGAACAATCTCCACCACGGTACGCATGCACTGTAGCACATCATCAGGGGGCTTGCTGCAAGAACCAGGAATAGACAGCCAACCTCCTGATGACCAGGGTTGCTAACCGCCAGTAAATTTATGGAGAGGTTGTAAAAATTACTGATTTTTACAACTGTCTGTAAATATCAGGGGCTGATAATTTGTCATGCTGTGTTGACTTTTGTAAGTGTAAACCAGTCAAATTATAAGTTTTGGGTATTGTAAGTGTTTCCATATTGTGTTTATACTGTTTAAATATTGATTGTGTTAGTTTTGTCATTTCATTTGTTAGGTTGTCAGTAAAAAAAATGTGCTCCGTCAGTAAATTTTCAATTTTCAAAATTATGCTGCAGGTTGGCAACACTGTTGATGACATAAAAAGAAAAGCTGGTGATGAGTGACCTGGCATTTAGCAGTGGAATGGTTGATTACATGAGACAACCATGGTTTCTCTTGGTGCGTGAGGTTTTTTTAGGACAACCCAGCGGACAAGGTTACATAGTTACATAGTTAGTCTGGCTGAAAAAAAGACAAAAGTCCATCCAGTTCAACCATATTAAAAAAAAAACAAAAAGAGTTATAATCCTATACCCACAGTTGATCCAGAGGAAGGCAAAGAACCCAGCAAAGCATAATCCAATTTGCTCCTGCAGGGGAAAAATTTCCTTCCCAATCCCCTAATCAGATATTCCCTGGATCAAATTTACCTATAAATGTTAGTATCCAGTTATATTCTGTGTATCTAAGAAACAACCCAGGCCTTTTTTAAAGCAATCCGCTGAGCTGGCCAGAACCAACTCTTGAGGGAGTCTATTCCACATTCTCACAGATCTCACTGTGAAGAAACCTTTCTGTGTTTGGAGAATACATTTATTTTCCTCCAGACGTAAAGAGTGCCCCCTTGTCCTCTGTGATGACCTCAAGGTGAATACCTCTACACCAAGTTCATTATATGAACCACTGATGTATTTATACATGTTGAGATCATATCCCCCCTTAATCTCCTCTTCTCAAGAGAGAATAAATTCCGTTCCTCTAATCTTTCCTCATAGCTGAGCTCCTCCATGCCTCTTATAAGTTTGGTTGCCCTTCTCTACACTTTCTCCAGTTCCCCAATGTTCTTTTTGTGAATTAGTACCTAAAATTGAACTGCATATTCCAGATGAGGTCTTACTAATGATTTGTACAGGGGTAAAATGATATCTCTCTCTCTGGAGTCTATACCTCTTGTACTACAAGAGAGCATTTTGCTCACTTTAGAAACCGCAGCTTGGCATTGCATGCCATTATTAAACTTGTGATCTACCAGAACTCCCAGATCCTTCTCTACCACCAGGTAAGAGGGTAAATTAAAAATGTACTGGAGAGTGAAGTTCTTCTATAATCCAGTAGTTTAATGGCAAGTGAAAAAAAAAACACTTTTTATCAAGACATACACATATCTCTGCTTTAAAATGGTTCAAAAATTGCAAGTTTTTTTTACCTTAATGCATTACCTTTTCCTAACTGTTTGCTCCCCCCTCCAAATACTTATCTGAGTTCTTTATTGATCCAGTGCTGTGTCCGTCTGCAGCAGACCTGCTCTTTCTTCCTGGTCTCAGAAGGCAGATTTATAGTCAATCAAATCCTGTGAGGAGGGGGTGGTGCCAAACCACGTTGTGTGTGTTTATGGGTGTACACAGCCCTGCTCAGGAGCGAGCCCACAGGTATGCCTCCAAAGCAAGCAGCATGCTAGGGAGGGAGGAACAGAAAAGGCAGAGCTGAGAGCACCAGCAGGGGACCCCAGAAGGGAAGGTACGGGAGCAGCTCTGTTCAATACCAGTGTAGCACTACCCGCTAAGGAGTCGCTGAGTTGTGCGTCCCCCTGTAGTCCTGCACAGCCAGGCAACATGCATTTTCTTCAGACCTTGCACAATGGAAACAGTAAAAGTCCTTGAGCTTGTTTTTTTTTTGTTTTATTAAGGGATATTGAACTTGGATGGGGTTGAGGGGTGTATGGGATGCCCAAGGACTGTGAACATGAGGACAAATCTCCTTAGCAACTACACTATATTGCCAAAAGTATTGGAACACCCCTCCAAATCATTGGATTCAGGTGTTCCAATCACTTCCATGGCCACAGATGTATAAAATCAAGCACCTAGGCATGCAGACTGTTTCTACAAACATTTGTGAAAGAATGGGTCGCTCTCAAGAGCTCAGTGATTCAAGTGTGGTAACATGATAGGTTGCCACCTGTGCAATAAGTCCATCCATGAAATCTCCTTGCTACTAAATATTCTATGGACAACTGTTAGTGGTATTATAACAAAGTGGAAGAAACTGGGAACAACAGCAACTCAGCCACAAAGTGGTAAGCCGTGTAAAATGACAGAGCGGGGTCAGCGCATACTGAAGCAAACAGTCAAATATTATTATTATACAGTATTCGTATAGCGCCAAAAGGTTTGCTTAGCGCTGTACATTATAGTGGGGGACAGAACATGAGACAATACAGTAACAAAACAATACACGAGGGGTTTGAGGGCCCTGCTCTTTGGAGCTTACAATCTAGGAGGGAGGGGAAAGTGGTACAGGAGGAAGTGGCTGTGGGGGATGGAGTGGAAGGAGGAGTGGAGGAGATCGGCTGTTAGGTGAGGGTGGGGTAGACTTCCCCGAAGAGATGGGTTTTTAGGGTGTGCCTAAAGGTGAGGAGGGTAGATGACAGTCTGATGGATTGGGGTAGTGAGTTCCAGAGGATGGGGGAAGTCCTGGAGAAGTCCTGCAGTCGGGCGTGGGAGGTGGAGACCAGGGAGCTAGAAAGTAGGAGGTCTTGTGAGGAGCAAAGATTACGGGTTGGGTGGTATTTGGGTATCAGGTTGGTGAGGTAGTTTGGGGCAGCGTTGTGAATGGCTTTGTATGTCAGTGTTAGTAGTTTGAATTTAATGCGTTGGGCAATCGGGAGCCAGTGGAGGGAATGACAGAGGGGGGTGGCAGAAGAGGAGCGGTTGGTAAGGTGGATGAGTCTGGCCGCTGAGTTCAGCATAGACTAAAGCGGGGATAGTCTGTGGTGAGGTAGGCCGGTGAAAAGGGAGTTGCAGTAGTCCAAACGTGAAATAATGAGGGAGTGAACGAGTTGTTTAGTAGTGTCTGGGGTTAGGAACGTACGTATTTTGGAGATGTTGCGGAGGTGGAGTCTGCATGAGTTTGCCAACGATTGGACATGGGGTTGGAAGGACAGGTTTGAGTCTAGAGTGACACCTAGGACTTTGGCTTGCGGGTTGGGACAGATGGTGGCGTTGTTGGTCATGATGGAGAGGGTGGGGGGGGGGGCGCAGGCTGGGGGGAAGATTAGGAGCTCGGTTTTGGAAAGGTTCAGTTTGAGGAAATGGAGGGTGATGTGCGCGTGCTTTAGGGGGGAGGGAAATGCACCAGTAGAGAGGGAGAGATTGAAGATGTGGGTGAGGGAGCGTAGGATGGAGGAGGAGGGTGCCCGGAGGAGTTGTGTGGGGACAGGGTTAAGTGGGCAAGTGGTGAGGCGGGCTTCTGAGAAGATCTTGGTGACCTCTTCAGTGGTGGCAAGGCTGAAGGAGCAGAGTGTTGGGGAGGTAATAGTGTGTGGAATGTTAGATGTGGTGGGGGGCAGGGCGGTTGCGAGGTCAGGGGATGGGAGAGTTGGTGGGGTTATGGTGGGAGGGAGGCTAGGTGGGGAGGTAGGTTGAGCATTGGTGATGTCCTTACGGATTGAGTTGATCTTATTTTGGAAGTGATTGGCAATCTCATGGGAGGTGAGTGAGGTACTGGGTGTGGGGGGGGGGGAGAGTAGGGAGTTGAAAGTGGAGAAGAGCCGGCGAGGACTGGAGGAGAGGGTGTTGATGAGGGTTACGAAGTAGGCTTGTTTGGCGGTCAATAACTAAAGACCTCCAAACTTCATGTGGCCTTCAGATTAGCACAACAACAGTATGTAGAGAGCTTTATGGAATGGGTTCTCATGGCAGCTGCATCCAAGCCTTACATCACCAAGTGCAATGCAAAGTGTCAGATGCAGTGGTGTAAAGCACGCTGCCACTGGACTCTAGAGCAGTGGAAACGCATTCACTGGAGTGACGAATCACACTTCTCTGTCTGGCAATCTGATGAATGTGTCGGGTTTGGTGGTTGCCAGGAGAACAGTACTTGCCTGACTGCATTGTGCCAAGTGTAAATTTTGGTGGAGGGGGGATTATGGTGTGGGGTTGTTTTTTGCAGGGTTTGGGCTTGGCCCCTTAGTTCCAGTGAAGGGAACTCTTTAAGATGTCAGCATACCAAGACATTTTAGACAATATTATGCTCCCAATTTTGTGGGGAACAATTTCCCCTCCCTGTTCCAACATGACTGTGCACCAGTGCACAAAGCATGTTTGGGGTGGAGGAACTTGACTGGCCTGCACCTCAACCCCATAGAACACTTTTGGGATGAATTAGAGTGAAGACTGCGAGCCAGGATTTCTCATCTGACATTAGTGCCTGACCTCACAAATGGAAAAATGGTCAAACATTCCCATAGACACACTCCTAAACCTCGTGGACAGCCTTCCCAGTAGAGTTGAAGCTGTTCTAGCCGCAAAGGGTGGGCCAACTCAATATTGAACGCTATTGTCTAAGACTGGAATGCCATTAAAGTTCATGTGTGTGTAAAGACAGGCATCCCAATACTTTTGGCAATATAGTGTATGTACAAGTCCATAGACAAACAGTCTCTCCTTGAAGAGCTCTACAGTCCTTCTGGTGTACCACCTCATACCCCAGATGAAATCTCCTGTTCAAGGGGAACCAGAAGCTGCCACTTTAATGAAAAAATACCAGATGAGGTGCTAGTTGGGTTTTCCACCTGACTGCCCTCTCCCCTTATCTGTCCGAGGGGGTGCAGTACTACTCACTCAGTCCCTCTCTTGTAAGGTTGTTGGGTTGGTGGCTGCCTTCAGGCCATTTTCTGGACTGGCTTCTTCCCTGCTTCCCAGGCTATCCTCTCTCAGGTGATGTTTGAAGCTGAGAGATCCTCATTCCAAGATCCTCCCTGCAGGTGAGCCCCTCCCTGGGCTCCTTCCCAGGCTCCACACTCCAACCTGCTCACATCAGCTTCCATCCGACACTGACCACTTCTCTCATACTTAAGGGCTGTTCTGACCCCATGCCAAGCCTCCTGCTTGGGAATTGGTCTGAATCCCTTCAGTATGTGGATCAGCCCCTCCTCACCCCCACCCGCTGCCTTCTAGAAACTTCTCAACCTTCTCGAGGAGGGGGAGGTATCAGGAAACTGACCTGCAGAGCCCTCAGCCCTGACCCAGTGTACTGTAACCTGGCTGACTCATCCCAGGCTGACTCATAGCAGGCTGCTATTCAGCCTCTAACTGAACAACCTAGCTAGCTCCCCCTGGCTAACTAGAGGGGTGCTACACCAATATGCAGAGCAGGTAAGTATAAACATCTTTCTTATTTTAGGTGAAAACATTGGAGCCTTTAGAAACACTTTAGTGTTTAGTGTATAGTGTTTTTGGACTTGCTATAAAACTACTGAAATTATGAAGACTTGTGGTCCTGAAGTTTGAAGCTGATAAGTCTCACTCACACAACAGCAGCATGACTTTTCTCTGATGGTTCTCTGACATAGCTATGATGTCACTGTAGATTACATAATTTACCTTGTGCAATGGAAGCCATACATGGCATTGCTGCTCATAGGGAAGGCTTCCTTTGAAGTGGGCTTAAAAGTAAAAAATATATCCCAGTTAATTTATTATATGTGTATAATTTTGCACCATGTTGATTGGTTGTTTGTCTCCAAGCTCATTTTCGGAATTCAAACACGATCTGTCAGGCTTAGCATGGATGGTGATGACGTGTGATGATATGGCTTTAAACTTCCATGGCTAAACGCTTCAGATTTATTTCACCTGACACATAAAGATCTTCCAAGAAGACCAAACATATCTGAGCTTATCATATAACCAAATTAGGTACGGGAATATTGCTGTACTGTAGCAGCATACCAATTATAATTGGTATGCTGCTACAGTACAGCAATATTCCCGTACCTAATAATTATTTACACTGATTTTCTATCATGTTTTCTCTTAAAGGAAACCTGTGCTGAAAGAGAACTTCCATTGCTGACTATTTTTTCTGCAAATGCTTTTCATTTGGCAGTCATATCAGTCCAATACTTTGTTACAATACTTTGCAAACCACTGACCCACAATTAGCATGCTACAACTAAAGTAACAGTCAAGTGAAAGCTCCTGATCTTTATACACGTTCTGAAAAGATTGAAGCCCATGGCATTAAAACCAGGCAAATAATATTTTCAGAAAGAGAGGCCATCTGGCATACTTTTGTGAGTACAAGCTATTTTTAAATGGGCAATCCACCTACAACTGAAATGGAAGAATTAGGGGATTCTGGTTGGTTGCATGCCCTCTTGTGACAATAGATACCTTTTTGTATGGCGTAGCTTTCCAGAATAAAAAAAAAAAAAAAAAAGGGCATTGGCTCACTGAAAATATACACATAGGTGTGAATAGGCCGTAAAATATTCACTGTGATTGGCAAAAAAAGTTTAATATTTGCTGCTATGTGAAAAATCCATGTGTCTATATGAACATTCTCGTTAACTGTAGACACACTCCCATGACCAGTGGTGTATTTAGGTATTGTGCTGCCCTAGGCAACACCAAAATTGGGTACCCAACACCCCCCTTCCACAGAAAGACCCTGACACCAATCAACACCACCCCTCCCCCCTGCAGAGACAGCCTGACATTGACCAACACCCCTGCCCCCCCACCTGAGAGATTTCCACTACCACCGCCCCCCGTACACTAGCCACCCCCCCATGAAGAGAGAGAAGACACTCACCTTCTCAAAGAGAGTTGGGCTCTGCATACACCGTCAAGCAGCCCACAGCCACTCTCGGATCTCACCTGGTCTCCATCCTTTCTTTCCGGGGGCAGTGCTGCCCCCCTGAAAAATGGTGCCCTAGGCAAATGTCTTGTTTGCCTTGTGGTAAATACACCCCTGCCCATAGCAAAGAGCAGCATTTACAAAGTTGCTCTAGTTCTAGATGGACACAATAAATACTACCAAGTTGTGTTGATGCATAACAGGACAAAATAGGTAATAAAAACTAATTACAGACGTTATGTACACACTCTCAGTCTGCACAGAGATTTTCCAGCTCACGGGACAACAACTGAAGCACCAGCAGACTGAGAGTGACTGTCACTAGGGCAGGTCAACTGAGCAGTTAACCCTTTACACACAAACATACACATACATATTGGCTTCCACCACATGCTTTAACTCTGATCTTCAAAAATATCTTTATCATTTGCTGCCACATCCAGGCTAGAATGTAACAGAGTTTACACAATGGTAGCTTTTTCATAGAGCCAGATTTCCCTAAAGCTAAGCTCTCTGTTTTTTTTTTCAAACACTCTTGAAGTGAGCCCCCCACACTGCAAGGGTTTATACTTGTTAGATCTAAGGTTAGAGAAATAAGCTTTACCACTTACTTTATTCTTTGATCCCCATTCCGTTGGCACTCACCTCTGATGCCTGGGGTTGTGGATGGGCCACGCCATCCTCACACACCTGTCCTGCATTGAACTTGATGATGACAGACTGCATCCACTTTTTGGGAAAATTTACCTTCAGTACCCTAGGAATCATTGAAAATGCGTAAGCTTTTTCTTATGGAGAGCTCAGTTATAGGTCAAATGCAATGCAACAAATGATGTGTACTCATAAGGCTGTGTAGGGCTTACCCCTGAATGGGCCACTGAATATAACCCAGGTCTCTCTAGCTAGAGAGGCTGCCAGTCTCAAGCACAGCTTCATGAACACTGACAATACAAGCTCATGCTAGGGGATTTCTTTCTGAATTTATTGCAGAATAACTTGAATCAGGAGTAGGAAATCAGGGGTTTTAGGATACTCCAAAACAAAAATCACAATCAATACAGGGACAAACTTCTAAGTAGAAATTCTTATAGCAGCAGGCACACATCAAAGTCCCAACCAGGTCTTACTCACAATGTCCCAGGAGCTGTCTGCCACCCAGACTCCACAGGTAGATCCTTAGTGAAGGAGATTAAAGATCCTTCTCCAGACCAGGACTTCAGAACAGTGCCCTCCAACAAAATCCATCAGCAATCTACTCCAGGCCCTCAGCCCAAACTGCAAATCTATCTCACTGTAGCTGCCTCCTGAGGGCAGCAGCCCTATGAAAACTGGAACCCTTCCTGAAGAGGAAAGAACACTGGAAAAGCCTCCCAGATATTTATCACCTCCTCAGCCACCTTCTGGTTGATTCCTTCCAGGGGTTGGATGGGGCATAATAAATATACATACTGGACATTTGAAACTCCTTGCCCTTTATTCTGGAAGCTTCTCCCAAGAGCAGGAGGAAGAAATCAAACACAGAAGAAAACCTTGACCAACCAAAACAATAGATTACTGCTCCACTGACTGCTGTGAAACCAAAAACTAAATTTAGTCTAACAGTCTAACTAGAGGGCCTTACAGCTGTATGTAGTGGAGGCACTAGTTTTCATCTGTTGATCTGACCAGTAAGTCTGTTATTTTTTTTTTACTTTCCTTTAAAAGACCAAGCTGCAAAGCAAAATTGGCAGTAATAATGCGGAGACAAACCATTAAACACTGACAATGGTGCTGGTCAATTTGTATTCATTTATGGAAATATTTATCCCAAAATGCAATAAAATACAAGAGGGTTAAGAAGACCCTGCTCATAAGAGCTTACAATCTAATAGGGTGAGACAAGTGGTACAAAATGTAATAACTGTGAGGAAATGAGATGATGGAAGAATTAAAAGTACAGTTGTTAGGTGGAGCGCTAACCACTTAACCACTTAACTTAAAGTGCTGCCCTGTCTTGTTACTGACTTTTGCATGTTTGGGAAAATGAGGGTGGAATTGTGTTCTGTCCCCCTTCCCAATCCTAACTACTCATCTTAGAATTCATCACTTCACTATTATCACAACAAAGTTTAC